AACAGAATAACAGAGTTGGAAGGGACCTTGGAGGTCTTCTAGTCCAACCCCCTGCTCAAGCAGGAGACCCTAGACCAGCGGTTCCCAACCTTTTCAATACCCCGCATCCCTAGAACGCTTCTGATATATTCTTGCACCCCTTACAAAAGTTCGAAATAACGGCAACGAATTATGCGTATACACTGTAGTTTTGAAAATCCAACTTTTTGCACCCTCTGGAATATTATCTTGCACCCCTGGTTGGGAACCCCTGCCCTAGCCTAGACCATTTCAGACAAATGGCTGTCCAATCTCTGTCTCCAGTGATGGAGCACCCATAACTTCTGGTGGCAAGCTGTTCCACTAATTGTTCTCACTGTCAGAAAATTCCTCATTAGTTCCAGGTTGCTTCTCTCCTTGATGAGTTTCCATCCGTTGCTTCTTGTCCTGCCTTCTGGCGCTTTGGAGAATAGCTTGACTCCCTCTTCTTTGGGGCAGCCCCTCAGATACTGGAATGCTGCTATCATGTCTCCCCTATTTCTTCTTTTCTTTAGACTAGCCAAACCCAAGTCCTGCAGCCGTTCTTTGTATGTTTTAGCCTCCAGGCCTTGGATCATCCTAGTTGCTCTTCTCTGCACTTTTTCCCAAAGTCTCAACATCTTTTTTGTAACATGGTGACCAAAACTGGGTTCAGCGTTCCAGGTGTGGCCTTACTAAGATACTAAGGTCTTACTAAGCCACTTTCACTTGCCTTGTAGGCTTAGCGATGCTTGGAGATGCAGGCTGATACGCCAGTTGCAGACAGCTGGCGTGTTTTTGTGTGTATGCACGTGCGTTTGTGCTGCTCAAACAAACCAAAACAGACAGAATCCCGGAACTTACAACCATTTGTTTAAGCGACCGTTTGACGTTACCAAAAAAACCCCCTGTTGAATTCTGGGAGCTGAAGGCCACACATCTGGAAAAAGTCCCTTACAACTGGTTGTTGCTACTACCACCGTCACAACAGCCCCAGGGTCACGTGATCACAATTCAGTATACAGGTAGTCCTCATTTTGCGACCACAATGGGGTTCCAAATTTCTGTTGCTTAAATGACATTTTGAATTTGGCTCACGGGTGCAACGGTCGTAAGTGTAAAAAACTGTCCTTAAGTCACTTTTTTTCAGTGCTGTTGTAACTTCAAACGGTCACTAAACAAACTGTCATAAGTCAAGGAGTGCTTGCGTATGCAGGTAGATATTTTTCATGCAGGCGGCCTTTTACGCGGGAATAAACCTGAGTTTGATCTCCCAACAAACAAGCGGAGTGGAACGTCAGTGCCGGCTCCGTGTTTGCCTCTTGGGAGTTGCCTGGCCACTTCCGGCTTGGGCCCACCCAGCACCATGTCGGCTATGTCAACGAAGAGACGGTCCCATTGCCTATTTTACGGGAGGGGGTAAAGCTTGATCCTGTTGGGAGCCAGGGCTGGAGCAAAGGACAACACAATAAACAGCACAATAAACAGCACACCTGTTGCGCCAGCCAGCGAGAGAGTACGCGGTTCAGAAAAAAAGCAGGAAGAATTCACTCTGGAGATTGGCACTCAGAGGGCTCCCAGTCATCCCCGTGGGAAGGAGAGACCCTCTGCCCAGTATGCCCTAGCTCAGGGGTAGGCAACCTTGGCTCTTTTATGACTCGTGTACTTCAACTCCCAGAATTCCTGAGCCAGCATGGGGGAAACTTTGGCCCCCTCATGACTGGTGGACTTCAACTCCCAGAATTCCTGAGCCAGCAAGAAGGGGCCGAAGTTTCTCCTATGCTGGCTCAGGAATTCTGGGAGTTGAAGTCCACGAGTCACGAAGGGGCCAAAGTTTCCCCCATGCTGGCTGAGGAATTCTGGGAGTTGAAGTCCACAAGTCATGAAGGGGCCAAAGTTTCCCTCATGCTGGCTCAGGAATTCTGGGAGTTGAAGTCCAGGAGTCATGAAGGGGCCAAAGTTCCCCCATGCTGGCTCAGGAATTCTGGGAGTTGAAGTCCAAGAGTCATGAGGGGGCCATAGTTCCCCCATGCTGGCTCAGGAATTCTGGGAGTTGAAGTCCACGAGT